CCATGCTTGGATAAACTCCATCAAAAGCACATTATCTCCCACTTCTGTGGCCAGCTGTCTAATTGTATTTGTTGTAGCCACTCACTGTTGGAACATGATACTAGTGAAGAGCAAGAATGATAAATTACTCACTGTAGGTGATAGCCATGATGATAATTTTTAATTTCCCTGTTCCTAAGTGAATTGGTAAGGTTGCCTTTATGAGTTCTCATAAGGAGGCAAGCAGCCTCATTTGTTTCATCCTGTTAAAAAGCTGCATGTTCAACCAGCCATTTTCTTTACAAAAAAAACCCACCTTTGTATTAAGATATATTTGAAGTAAAATTTAGACTACTTTTCCCATTTCAGCTAAGGGCTCTGAGTGGAAGGGCATAAATAATATGTACTAATATTCATCTATTATAGATGTTAAAGCTTTTTGTGATCTTAACATACTTGGTACATGTTACATGCTTGAATGGGGAAAAGAATAGGCTCAAAATAATTTATCTGGGAGGAAAGAAAAATATGTTGAAGGCAATTGAATTTTACTGGGAGGACATGCTTAATTTACAGATTTATTTTTTTTTTATGTTTGTGTGAACACCTTAGAAACCCTCAGTGATGGATGAAGACTTGAAGCTCCTTTACATGAATTCTTAATCAAAACCAGAATTTGTCAAAATAAGGTAGAATTTAGTGGCTGCTTTTGTAATTTCAGGAATATTTTGTTCTTAATTTAGTAAACTCTTTGTTGAGGATGATGCTTTGCAGTCTTACTAATGTACATCTATTCCTAATTATTTCCTTGTTCTCTATTTAAGCCTTTTAGGTCCCATGGGTAAATATGGAGATCTTGTTCTGGGGGTAGAGTTTTTGTCCTCATAGCTGTTTTTCTCCTGGCAATTTGTTTGAGAACAGGAAGAATAATATTTCTGTAGTGTTTCCTAGTACTTAACACCCTTTGAGGCTAGAGTATCTTTCAGGCTGGAGTTTCAGTTATTTATTACCAGTGTAGAAGTGATTATTTTTTGTTTTTCTCTTTCATGTATTCAAGAGACTGACACTTGAAAGATTCTTCCAGAGAAGGCTTAAGTTTTTGTTAATTAGTCATTGGTAGAATTGTAAATGAGCTGTCAAAGGTGGAGCAAAAAGATGTGGAAAACTGCAAAGGAAGAAATAACTGGTATCGTTATGCTTAAAAAAAAAAAAGAAAGAAAGAAAGAAAGAAACCAAGGCATTAGTTGTAAAGCATCATTTAGGATTTATGGGAGTGTTATTTGCCTGTTTCTTTTCTTTAGTTTAACTTCTTGTAAAAAAGATGCCACCTTTAATAAAAATCTGGCCAGCCCTGTATTCCATTTTTAATATCCTTGTGTCTGTGATTGCTTCTAGTGTGCTACTTGTGATTTTCTGACTTACGTTTTGCTGCTTAGCTGCATGCCTTCAATAGTGCAACAAAAAGGGAGGATTTCATCTTCCTTCAAGCTGTAAACATTGGAAATGTCTTTTTGTGTAGTATGGCATATTTAATAGAAGTTTGTGATTGACTGTTATAGCTACTGCAATTTGTGGAGGTGTTCCAAAGTGAAATGAAAGGAAAATGTTCTAACTTCAGTTTTACAGAATTATTTCACTGAATCGTACTTAGGTATAAAAGATGTGTGTTGTGCATTGGATAGTGGGATTGAGTGCACCCCCAGCAAGCTTGGTGATGACACCAAGCTGTGTGTGTGGTCAACATGCTGGAGGGAAAGGATGCCATCCAGAGGGACATTGACAGGCTTGAGAGGTGGGCCCATGCCAACCACATGAAGTTTAACAAGGCCAAGTGCAAGGTCCTGCACCTCGCTCGGGGCAACCCCAAGCGTAATTGCAGGCTGGGTGGAGAGGACTTGGGTGTATTGATTCATGAGAAGCTGAACATGAGCCAGCAATGTGCACATGCAGCCCAGAAAGCCAACTGGATCTTGGGCTGCATCTAAAGAGACATGCCCAGCAGGTCAAAGGAGGTGATTCTGCTTCTTTGCTCCACTCTCATGAGGGCCCACCTGGACTATTGTGTCCAGTTCTAGAGCCCTCAACACAGGAAAGACATGTAGTTGTTAGAGCAGGTCTAGAGGGCCATGCAGAGGATGAGAGGGCTGGAGCACCACTCCAACAAATACAGACTGAAAGACTTGGGGTTGTTCAGCCTGGAGAAAAGTCTCTGGGTAGACCTGATCGCAGCCTTCCAGTATCTGAAGGGGGGCTATGTGAAAACTGAGGAGGGACTTTTCACCAGCTTGTGTAATGATAAGACAAGAGGTAATGGATTAAAACTGAAAGAGGGGAGATAGAGGTTAGACATTAGGAAGAAATTCTTTAATGTGAGGTTAGTGAGACACTGGCACAGATGCCCAGGGAGGCTGTGCCTGCCTTCCCCCTGTAAGTGTTCAAGGGCAAATTGGATGGGGCTTGGAGCAACCTGGTCTAGTGGAAGGTGGCCCTGCCCATGCAGTGGGGCTGGAACTACATAATCTAAGGTCCCTTCCAGTGCAAACCATTCTGTGATTCTCCCACTCTGCTCTTGTGAGATCCACCTGTAGAACTGTGTCTAGTTCTGGAGCTCTCAACACAAGAAGGACATGGAGCTGTTGGATTGAGTCCGGAGGAGGGACACAAAGATGATCTGAGGGCTGCAGCACCTCTGCTACAAAGACAATTTGAGAGAGTTGAGCTTGTTCAGCCTAGAGAAGAGAAGGTTTCAGGGAGACATTACAGCACCTTCCAGTACCTGAAGAACCTACAAGAAAGCTGAGACGGGACTTTTTACAAGGGCATGTAGCAGTGGAACAAAGGGGGGTGGTTTTAGGCTGAAAGAGGGTAGGTTTAGATGAGACATCGGGAAGAATCCTTTCCAAGGGGCAGCAAACAGGGGACAGTTTCTTTTCAGCCTGAACTTAATAAAAAAAAAAATGCTACTCTGGGGATATTTTCTCAGTGTAGCCTGTAGGGCTACATCCACCTCAGCTGTGGTATGTCTGCTTGAAGCTTTCTGGTCCAAACTGTAGCTTGTCTCCTTTTCTCTGGGAGACAACTTTTGTTTCTGCAACTTTGTTTTCCATTCTCCAGTAATCATATCCTTAGTCTTATTTGTAAGTATACCAACAGTATTGACCTGATGATTAATAAATATTTTTATGTCTTAGTAGATCTGACAGATGTCCCAAAAAGCTTTTGTGCATCAATAAAAGTAGTCTGATGGGTCAATAGAACTTTGTCAAAACCTTCTCAATCTTGACTCAAAAAGGCATATTAGAGACAGGGCTGTAATTCACTTGGGAATGAGATTCTCAGCATTGAGTGATAGGACTTTACTTAAGGGATGGAAGACTCACTGTTTCCAACATCTGGTGCTCATTTGTCAAAATGTTCTTCAGTGTCTCCTTGGTTCATTTTTTAAAGAATATATGTGGCCATGTCAGAGTCTGGAACTTGCCTGGCTTCTCTGAAGTGCCCTTAGCTGAAAAGTCAACACAGGTGCTTTAAGGTAGACTTGGTTGCTTTAACACTTTGTATTCTCCACTGTGTTGGTGAAATCTGCTCTGGATATACTAGAGAGGAAAAATACCAGAATGGCTTAGCTATCATTCAGATTCCATGTTTTACACCTGTAAAGCCCTATGCCATTCCATTTGTTATCTTCATTTTGTAAGCATGTTTGATGACTCTTTTCCCCCATCACAATCTATCTCAATATAAAGGCTGTGCTATAGAACTTTTCCTCTGTAACTATCCAGAACAATCATTTTTTTAGATTTAGAGTCAAGAAAAACATTGTTGCCATCAGAAGAAGGTTATAGTCAGTTGTTTCCAGTGAGTTTTCATGCACCGTGTTTGCCACCACAGAGTTGGTACATATCTTGTTTGGATGTACTAGAGCCAATGGGGGCAGAATCCCTTCCTGCTGTCACAGGGATAGAGATCTCCCTCTCCTTCAGTTGGGGTTACTCAGAATCTCTCTTCTGGGTTGTTTCTTCAGGCTAACATTCAATAGAAAAGCCTTGGGCCCGTGGTCTGATTTGCTTTAGCCTTTTCATAGGAGACAAGAGAAAGCAATTAAAGAAGAGCACAGGCAGGATTTCAGAAGTAAAACTGTGGAGCTGATTGTCTTCTATTAGGAACTTAAGTTGTTTGTTTGTTTGAATTGTTTGAATTTTTGGAACTTTCACAAGGCTTTTTAGTCAAAAAAGCAGAACAGTATTAGAAGACTATTTAACTAACTGATAGTGTCAGTACACGGTTTTGTGTGTGGACATTTTGTATTTCCCTTCCTCTTCAAGCAGGAGGAAAAGTGCCTCTGAGGAATTAGCCACTGAAGAGAGAAGCTCTCCAAGGTTAGAAGTAGGATGGCCAGAGGGACAGAATAAATGTTCCAAGGAATCCTGTGGAGAATTACTATTAAAAACCATCAACTGCTGAAAAGGCCAGCATGAGGCATTTGCAAATCTTTTCCCTTATCTGTGTGTGTAGTAGAAGAAGAAAACTATTCCCAGCCTGGTTATGTGGTGCCTGTGTTCAGAAGGAGCTTGGATGGAAAATGAGGTGAAGCCACACAAAGGGTGAACATGTCAGGTGGGGTCCCTCACACTGTGTGGTTAGTGCAGGTCCTGGGAACCAGAGAACACAAGGACTAAATTCTATAATCCTAGGCTTGCACATCTGAAAGGCTGTTATCTCTTAAGTAATTGTAGTTGCAGTTAGGGTCTGGGGGTTATTTTGGAATTGGAACTAAAATCTGATATATAATATAATGCAGTTAGAGTGTGCAGAATGTTTGCAAGTAGAGCAAAGGTGTCTTAACAGCTTGATTTTATTGTCTTAGATTTCTAGCTTGTTTCAAAGCATGAATCTAAGCTTGCTCCTGCTAAAGGCTTGAAATGGAGTAGGAATCCAAATCAATTTATATATCAAGGATATATTGTTTCCTTAGTGTCAGGTAATAATTGATCATATTTGCATTTTCCTCTTTTTTATAGGCAATTGCTGGTTATTTTGATATATTTTTTGAGAAGAACTGTCACAACAAGGTGAGTACTTGGGGTTATGCATTTTAAAAATAGTTTTGAGAGAGAAGGATGTTTTTGGCAGCGAGTCTGTTTTGCTGTAGCAAACACTTGATGTGTATGTGTGTTTGGCAATTGATGGGATGTGATATCAAAAATGTTGTTCTTAGTCAAACTCTTGAACTCTTCCATTGCAGGTCTTGTTTTCAACTGGTCCCCAGTGTAGCAAAACACACTGGAAACAGACAGTTTTTCTCCTGGAGAAACCATTTCCTGTAGAAGCAGGTATATTTAAATACAGTTATAATGCAACAATTGTTGTGTTACATTGCTGTTACCACTACATATAAATCTTAAATACTATAGGCATGACATAAGTGGTAAAAAGAACTAGTAAATAAATCTTACCTACCTAGATTTATATTTTTTTGTCTAAGCAAAGCACTTGGAAGTACCTGTATTCTACAAAATGTATGCAAAAATAACATATAGATGTCTGCATATGTGTAAGTAAGCATATGCCTTATACTTTGCTTCATTCTGTAGTTCTGATGAGAACTTGTGTATCATAACATTATATTTGTTAGATGAATCATGAATACATGCAAGGGTGTTGTACCTGGCCCTGTGGGATTGCTCTGTGAATTGAAAACATTTTCAAAGACCTCACAGCCATGTATTTGATTCATTGAAGAACAGAGGAAGTTATTTTGATACACTGTAAATTTTGATAAAAGTATCATAATGTTTTGCTTGGATTTGATAAAAGTAAAAAGACTTGTTGTTATTAGGAATAACTCAAAATTCAGATGATAAGTTGTTGAACTGAGGTTTTGAAGACTAAGGTGATGCTTGTTAGTGATTTTAATTTGTTGTATTTGGTAAGTCTTCAAAATACATTTGTATGCAAGAATTCCTTGCTCTTTAGACACAGAAATATGTGCATGACTGTCACAGGATAGTGATACAAGAGGATATGCATGAAATAGGACAAGATTCCTAAGTCTTGCCCTCTTATTCCTATAGAACTGCACTTTCTTTCAGACTTCCTATGTTGTTTTTTTTAATAATCAAAGGAAAGGGAGTAGTTATATTTTGTGCTGATTTATTCTTTTTATGTTTTATAAAACATAACCACTTAACCATTAGATATTTACTCACCTCTGCTGAACTCTTACCCAGTGGTGAATTAGTCATCTTTGAGGGCCATTTTTCATTATAGACTTGCATGACCAAGTGAGGAACTCCAGAGTGGGGCTCATTTCTGCTGTTTGGTTAATAAACTCATGGTAGTCTGAGACCCTAGCCTGAAAAGTTTGTAAACAGGCCAGCCATAGGGGGTGAAGGCAAACAAAAACTTGAGTGGATGCTGCAGAAGAAACTGAAGTCAAGAGAATTCAAGGTGCTATAAAGAAGTATTGAGGTAGATGGAATCTTATCTCTCTTAACAGATCTAACTGCAAATGTGCAATGGTGAAAGCAGCATCTCTGCTCAATTCAACCACTGTTGCAGTTGCCTCTTCTAGCTATCAGCCCTCACAACTTTTTACCAGGAGCTTCTTTCCTAGAGGCACTGTGGTCCATATTATCTGACAAATGATTTCTCTCTTTAATGCTTTGACTTCATATTCTTAAATAATTTTTATTTGGGTATTCTTAGGTCCTGTCACTTCTTGGGATTTGCACTGGTGCGTTTGTACATGGCTTGTTGTCTGTTGAGTCCTCTTTTAGACAAGGCTCTCTAAGGTGTCCTTGCTGCAACTCATTAAATTTCAATGTCAGAGAGTGCAAAGTGAAATTTTTGAAGTGCATTGACATTTGTTAGAATATGCACGTTATTTAATATTACATAGATCATTTGACATTTACCAAATGTGTGAAATTACTGGGAGGGGTGTCTGGCTCCAGACTTCTAGTTGAGGTGCAGTGACTTTCAGAAGACAACTGCAGAAACAATGTGCTTTGAAGCAGTGAACACAACCTCATTGACCTTCAAGATCACTTTCACCATGAGTCCTTCTCTCTTTACTACCTTGTATTTCTGAAGTCATTCCCTTAACAAATCTTGTTACAGCTATGCTTCTTTTTCTGCCTGTCTCCTTGTCATAATTATTTAAGTTCCCCTTTTCCATCCTTACAGCCATTTTGTCTGGTTTTATATCTTGTATAAAATTATCTTTGATCTAGGGTTCTCTGCCTGCTGTTTCTAGTGTTAGAGGAGGTTCTAGGATGTAATTTCCTTTTCCTTTGTAAACCCGGTTTTAATTTCTGTAGGATATTTGTTATTCATGGATGACATAAGCCCATCAGAAGGTGTTTCCTCTATTTACATAACAGTATTGCTTAATTTAGGTGTTTTGTTTTGAAAAACATTCACTTGACTTTGAACCTTCTTTGAACTGAACTCCACTCTGTACTTATCTTTGGGGAAAATTTTTTTGTCTTCAAGTGGACCTTTCTCAGTGCAAGAAAAATGAAGAAAAAAGTAACAGTTTTAGATTAAACATGTTTGCATCATTTGAAAGCTTCAGCTTTTCTGTTCATCTGTGTTTACAAATATTCATCAATCCTCTTTATGAATTATTAGAAAAAGAAACATAAATCTGACACTGGGAGACAGTGAGGATCCACTGGTGAATAAATGTATTGAGTCAAAACAAGCCTTTTTCCTAGAAAGTATTGGAAAATAAATAGAAACAATACGATTTGAGTCTTGCAATAATCTGATCAGTGTAGCCATGGTTGTATTTGCTTTCAGTATTTTAATAGGTTGTGAAAGAGGAATTTGGTGGTATAAAATGCATTTCAAATGTTTTCCTGTTTTGAAAGCATCTTTCAGACAGGGCAGTGTTTGGTTTTTTTCCCAGTTAAGAAAAATGGTTCCCTCACATTTCTAATTCTGAGTGAAATAATGATCAAATGCTTTATAGCTTTTGGGGATGTGCCTGAAGTGGTTATAAAGCATTTACTGTATTTGGATTTGCTTTGTGAAAGGTTGAGCTTACCAGGTATCTGAACCTATTGGCTATTTCACAAGACAAGGCTGCTTTGTGCTAAAATCGTTTTGTTCTGCAGTGGGAACTGGCTCATTTTCTCAGCAGTTTGATGCCAGGTTGTGTTGTAAAAATAGATCTGTTTTCCCAGCCATAAAAAAGACTGAATGATTTGATCTCTGATGATAACAGAATCAAGCCTTTACAGGCCAGGGGATGGGGCTTGCATCACACCCTCCCTCCTTTGCCATCCCTGCCTCAGCCTGTGCTAGATGTGCAGTGTTTGCAAATTCTCTGATGTTAAATGGGAGCTGTTGAGGTCCAAAGGCAGTAAAAGTTACACCTAATTAATACTTCTGATTTGCCATGGAATTTCAGCTTGATACCTTTGGTAAATAGCTTGGTGTATAATTTTACTGGCTAATTTCTGTTTATGTGGTTTAATGTGTAAGTGGAAGAAAGTCTATTATTACTCATGGACTGAAAAGTCAGTTCCCATCCTCACAGACTGTGACGAGAGACTTGAAGCTGATGTACAATGAAGTAAAACAAAATAACATCAGCATGTTGAATATGGTTTAACTGCTTAGCATGCAGTAAAATTCAAGAAACTGGAGAAAGAAGCCAGATTACATTTTATTGCCAGAAAAACTGGGTTTTCTGAGGCAAAAGAGTATTGTATTGTAGACTCCCTACAGAGTACAAGGCTTTACTTAGCAATTCTTTTAATAGCTTGAAAACATCTCTATTTTGAAATTGAGATGCCAAAGCAGTATCTTTTCCTTACTAATGGTCCAAACATGAGTGTCTTCCTTTAATTGAAATATTACTGCTAAGTTTCTTAAACAAAAAAATATACACAGACTATCATTCTTATTTGTGTGTCTAAAGTATTTCCTAAATAAATAAAATGCTTACAAAAATTATTTTAAAGGGGCCACAGAATTTTTCAGTATCAGTGCATTAAGGTAAAACCCAGATCTGTGTGCAGGCAAATTCTATTAGCAATAAAACAGTGTATTGTCTGCATTTTGTGCTCTTGATATTGCATTGCCTTGGAAATAAAACCTTGATTTGTTTTTCTGTGGTGCTAAAAGAGGCTAGCACAGCAAAACTGAAGTAGAATTCACAAGACTAAGGCCCTGTAAACTCCTTTATTATCTTTAGCTCCCCAGTCTCCATAATTGGGTAGCTGTTCGTAAATTTACCAACTGAAAAATGTTAATTTGTCTACCTAGAGAGCTTTGTTAAAAGTAGGAAAACAACACTGGCACAATTAATCTGGCTGAATGTTTTGATCTTATACTGAAATACTTCAATATTATGTATCCCAGTTGGATAATTTGGTCCCTAATTGAGATTTTGCTGGTTCGCCTGTCTACAGCTGCAACGTGGTGTCTGTAGAACACTGTCACTTGTTTACTTACAAGTGATACCTCCAAAAATGATGCTTGCTCTTAAAATGTAGTAATTGTTAAAAGTTGGATTTTGAGGTCAGACTAAATCTTGCATGTCTTAAACTTTATCTTTTCAAATCTGCAGTTTAAAATCATCCTGCTGACTTTTTGGAAACATTTCAAGGACTAAGTTGAGAGATTGTCTTCCCATGGCTGTTTTGTCTCATGGAAAGATAAGTTCTGTATCTAGACAAGAAAACTCCGATGAACTCTTGTGCTATTCTCTGTGCCCACCTTTGCAAGCTCTGCAACTGCAAGAGGGTATGGCTCATACAGCAACACCAATCCAGTTTTCTAAGAAACTACTGACAGAGGAAGATTAGGACAAGGCTATACAGTTTTATCTTTGCTACAAAAAGTAGTGATTTAAGACTAGTTCTAGGTGAGCAAGTTACACATTTTGGAGAACCATGTTTCTGGCCTTCACCATTCCCTGTGGTGATTTTTTCTGAGCTGGCTTTTCTCATTCAACTGCCCGTGTAGACTTCTTTGCAGCAGCCTAATTAATAGTTTGTATTGGGGATTTGAACCATACCAATTTGGTACAAAAGCTCTTCAGAGAATATATCAGGACGTGAAAGGAAAAGACAGAACCTCCACATAGTTTCAGAAGAAGGGGAACAGTGATGCAAGAGAAGGGAATTGGTTAGTAGCTACTTAGTTTATAAAAGCGACTGGATGGTGGAAGAAGGGTGTCACAGATCAGATGACTAATCCCAAAAGTTACTGCTCCTTGGTTCTCATTGGGTTGGTGATTCAGTGAGATCCATGGCTAAATGGGAAGGTGGCAGCCTTTATACAGCTGAAGGGACGTGCAATTTAGGATGAGTGGGAGGATTAATGAGAAGCTATTGAATTGAAAAGAAATGTTCTTGGTCTCACCACAAATTATTTCTCTTTCATTTTTCCTTTGATTTTTCAGAAGAGAGATGGTATATGGAAACTATTTGTAGCCAGCTCTTCCAGAGTGATGCTCTCAGGACTTGTTTCCTTTCAGTTGCATGCTAGACCTTGATATTGTGTAAGGTGGTGGGTCCAGTTAGTCTAACATGGCATGGAAAACTAGATCATACTTAAATTGTCAGCCTCAAGCAAGGACAACCTGGTTGTGAGGAGTGGTGTTGAAGCTTGCTGTCAAGGCAGGTGTGACTGCCACTAAAAGCCTGTGGTTATTGCAGTGCAAGGGATTTATAAAGATATTTCTCACCAGCAGTTTGGTAGTTAAGGTGTCTTTAGGCCAAATCCACTGCAGTTTTCTAGCAGCTCTCTTTGAAGATCTTTAGTAAGTTTCTTAAATTTTAATGCGGGTCAGGAGAAAGAAGGTTTTGAGTACCATGTTCTTCCTTGGCTCACTGTTAGCTTCATAAACCTCTCCCCTGGGAAGATAAGAAGGAAACCTGAAAGATGGTGATTGCTGGCTGCCTTCAGTTACTCTTTCAAGCTTTTTCATAAATAAAGCAGGAGTGGACACCAAGTTGTATTGAAAGGCAGGCTAGTTCTTCACATTACAAGTTCATTGTCATGGATTGTTTTGAGGTTTAAGTTGATATTTTGGATATGCATGCAGGAGTGAGCCTGCAGTCTTTGAGTTCAGACAAATCTGCTTAGATTAATCAAGTTATAGACTGAAAAATATAGTTTGTTTGGTCTAAACACTTAGAGGTTGGGCTCTTGCACTGAGAGGTAACTTTGCTCACAGACTGTACTGCACAAACAAATGAAAGATGCAGTTGCTCACAGTTCCACTGGTGATAAAGTCAGAACTAAAATCAACTATTTTGAGTGTTCAGAGCCCACGTAGAGGGTGTTCTGCAGAGCATCTAATCATGTGTGTATTGTTCAGCAGTGGATCAGTATGGACACAAGGATGGATTTTTTTTTTTCCTGTGCTAGCAAGCTCATGCAGCAGTTCTGCTGAGTTCTTCTGTTTTTCTCGTTTTGGGGACAAATTTCAGGACTCCCCAAGGGATAATAAAAATGCAGGAAGGGGTTGGTAATGGATTCAGTGTTGTCCTAATCAAACTGCAATGGCACTGTGTGGTTTACTTGCATTCAACTGAGCGTGATAAGAGCAAGGTGATGCAGCTGAGTCCCAGAGACAGTTTCCTCCAGGCAGCTCACAGGACAGCAGAATGGTGAAAAAACATCAGTCATTTTCTATCTACATGACAGTGATTAATTGTTCTGAACTGCCTTTCTGTTACTTGGTTGCATTGCTGTTGTTTGCCTCAGCCCTCAGAAAAGACTGTTTAGAAAGGCAGATTTAATGTGGTTACTGCATGAGAAATAGCTGAGAAAAATGGAATGCTTCATTTCATTAACTGCCTTTAGAAACAATCTGAGGCTTCTGTTCTATGAAGTCAGCTATAATTCATTAAATTCTCTTTAGATTTTTACTTCTTTATTGTAATCTTAGTATTAATGTTTTAAACCCTAAGATTGCAAGATGGTTTAATTTAAACCATGGAATTTTAGTTCTCTGGGGCTCTTAACCATTTTTAAAACATTCTGTATTATTGGATGTTAAAATAGATAAAATAATTCATTTTGCATCGGTTCTGAAAATCTGTGTGTGCAAAGTAGGTTAAGCTTCCTAGCTGGAGAGGAGCTGTAACACCCTGTTTTCTTTACCTTATCTTTCTACCTGGTAATCTGCAAAACCATTCTCACAGTTCTTTGCAAATCTTTGTACAGTGTTAGTCATTTTGTGTCCTGGTAATAAAGCTGCACACAACTAACTGTTAAATTATCAAGAAATACAAAATTATCAAAGAATACATTTTTAAATCTTGTGTACACTGTGGGAACAAGAGTCGTTCATGCTGAAAAGCTTTCTCTGATACTTATACTTCAGCCTCTGACAAAACATCCTGCATTTATTATTTTTAACATAGATTTTGTGTCAGTTTACTGCTGGATGCAGCTGAGGATTGTGCTAAATTGGAGACTTGTAAAAATGTTACTAAATTTGAAAGCCGCTTAGTTTTCAGACTGCTGTTTGTTTTCATATTTGCAATAAGAATATTGAGTGTTTCACCCTTTTAACAGAATATAAATAATGGCATTTAAAATGGCAGTAAGTAATGGACAGCTGGGAAATAATTTGGATCCAGTGAGATAGAAAAGTATTAACAGTGGATGTGGCTGGTGTGAGGTCTGAGGATGAACGGGGAAGAGTAGCAGAGAACTTATGCTGTAGATCAAGATGATGCACTCCTATGTGTTTAGCAGAATTGTCTTTTAGATGTTGTTCTTGTGGATCTGTAAGTCCAATGTAAGGATCTGACAGTCAATTTTATTGTCATGCAAAGATACTCAATGGGTAAGATGTGAAAAGCCTTTCTAGCTATGCAACATTCTGAAGCTTTATACAGGAGTAAAGAAAGGGACAATTAGTCCATTTCTGTACAGGCAAAGTTGCTCTCAGCTTCTTTTTTTGCCTGTATTTATGATCCTATTTTAAGATAGCAGAAAAGCAGATTTTACAGACATTAAGATGCTAATTCTGAAGTCAGAGGACCTTCATCTTCTACAACACATTAGAGGACTACAAGAATCAGGATGTCATGTTTGGTGGCCTTCAGTCAGATTCTCCGAAGGTCACTTACAGCTCAAACTTACAAGCAACTTAGATGGCATTGCAAAAGGTCTAGAAGTACAAATTCTGCTCCCATGTCAAGCTAGAGCCAGGCTTACCAATACACACATGGCATTCTTTAGGAAAATGCACAGTGAATATTTCTAACATATATTTCATAAGAACAATATTATTGTTTACTGGGATGATGGGGGGTGAGGTGTGCAGGAATAACACAATGGCACGTAGTACCTCTCCAACTGAGACTTACCTGTGCTTGGCACTGCTAGGCAGGGATCCAGCATATCCAGCTTAACCACGTACCATGTATCCAAGGAATACAGGGATTTTTTGTCAATCACCAGTGAAACAATTGGCATCTCTGCTCCTTGGGTGGGTCATTTGAGAAGAAAAGCATCAGAACTGACTCAACAACTCGCTGGGCTGAACTGCAGTCGCTTTGACTTCACATTCCTTGTCAAGATCATTGCTTAGAGCTTTGAAAATACAAAGAAAACCTCTGTAGATTTCTTTAGTTCTGATTAATTTGGAACGGCTTCTCACGCAACATAAATGTGTGTAATGCATCTTTACTGTGCGAGATTCAGTAATGGAATCATAGTAATTTCCTTTTTATTTTTGCAGGAGAGGCCCTGAGAGGGAAGGTCTCAGTCCGCAAAAACAGGAAGGATCCACGGTCCCTCTTCATAACCTTGTCAGTGAGGGACACTCAGCAGACCTACAGCCTTCAGTGAAGACTCTGTGCATGTAACTTTGGGAAGTGTAAACGTTAGATTTAACTGTTGATAACTGTTTCTAAGTATCTACAAATGGTAAACTGGTATTTTTGTACATCTATGCACACACCATGGGAAGAGTTGACCTAGAATTGAGAGAGTGTTTGGATGCTTTAACACTGGGACGTGAAGACTGATGACAAAATCAGGTTCTGCTGTTTTTCACATGATGTGGGAAAGGAAAGAAAGATGGTTTGGAGTTACATGAGGTTTGCTAGGTGAGAAAAATCAGAGGAAACTCTTGCTGTGAGGAATAAAAAATAAGATCTCTAAATAGCGTTTTGTCTTCAGTTGGAAAAATCCTTGTGCCATTTTAATTTTTTTTAGGGAAGAAACAGCTAAATCATGGGCCAGTGCCCCTCAGTAGGAGCTGGAAAGTCCCAATTGGAACAAGCTTGGAATTCCAATTGCAGGATTGCAACAACCAAGACTTTATTTTTATTACACTTCTGTAACTAAAATTTTGTATCACCTTTTGGTTACATTTATCAAAATAAATGAACCGAGTAAGTTATATAATGTAGTTGCCTGTTTCCTTCTTTTCTGTGTAATTGGAAATTCTTTTTATCTATCCAGTGATGACTCATGTATTTGTGGTTACCTTAATTTCTCTACTAGCTAATTGCATCATAGGTGCATGGAAATGTGCATTTTAGCAGCTTTAGGAAAAATACTATGAACAAATAGCAGCAGTTGCTGGAACAGTGGGTTAGGTTTAGCTGCTTGCAAAACCAGACTGAACAATCAAGGTTTGTGTGTTGTGATGTTTCAACATTTTCAGCTGTAGTGGGGTTGGAACTAAGTGTAACACCATGCAGTTTGTGTACTTGTATTGTACACATATGTGTGTTGAAAATGGTTTCAAGAATAGTTTCAAGAAGGAAAGGTGACAGTGTTTTGCTACTCATCTCTGAACTGCTGTTAAATATGTTAGGACCTTTTTTAAAGGACTAAGGCAAGGAAGAGATTTTTTTAATTGGAATCTGCTCAACAAAGTTGGGGTAAGTGTATATTGTATAATGAGGTGAAATGCTACCTCTTTTGCCTGTAACTAGAGAGTGTTACCAGTGGTAATGCCAGTTTGGCAGAAAAGTGGAAGTTTTTGTTCCAAAAGCTACAGTTCTCCAATGCAGCACTTGATTTCATAGAGTGATGTGGATGTTGAACAGGACGTTGCAGTTGCTACAGTGCTGCTGCAAAAACAGGCTTGAGGGTTTGTATTTCATCTTGCACTGCTTTTATCCTCTTCTGTGGAAGTGTGTGGCTTGCTCCCTTGTAATCTCCCTGGTGGCAGGGGATGGGGATTCTTTCCTGTGTGAAAGCTTATTCAATCACCATTAAGCCCTCCTGATCAATATCTAGATGTTCAAGAGCTCAGCTCACACATGCAGCTTAAGAGGGGTTTAGGTGCTGAGCATCTAGTCTGGTTAACTCATTTTAATGAGGGCTTCACCACCCATGTGGCTATTCTGTTCACCTAATGATAGGTATGAATTCACCCTTCACACTAATTTTCAGATCACTCTGTTTTAGGCCAGTGGGAGTGCACATAGTTTATAAAGTCTGCATATTTTCAGTATTTTGTTTTAAGGATAGACTTTATGATGAAAAGTTAATAACAAATGAGACAATTGCACACAAAAAAAAAACCAAAGGTGCAAGTTGTATTTCACAGTAGTATCTGACAAGTATGAACACTCTACAGTGATACAGTTGATATGTAAGTCTGATCTATCATTTTTCAAGCTTGGAGATGTGTACTCTTTTGGAAAATACATAGATTATTGTTAAAATGCTTGGGTCTGGTTATCTGAAAGTAAAGACTATTCAGCTCTGTATAGAAGCTGACCTTGCAGATGATGCCAGCAGTTGGCATTGGGCTGATAAATGGAGTTTGTGACAGAGGATCAGACAGTCAGTCTGCAGGCTAGGGGATGGATTGCTAATTTTTGTCCTGTGCTGAAAGGCACCTAGAAATACAGAAAACTGACAGACTAAACAGTGTTCTCAGTCCTATGGAAACCAGAAGTTGAAATAATCCACATCTGATTTTGATCATCTGGGACATAATTGACTGTGGGAGCTTCAGGTGCTTTCAGGGAGATTAATACTTTGACATTTGGTGTTGGAGTAGATGGTCTTGTTGAGGTCTCTTCCAAGTTTATTTTTTCAGTACTTGTGCAGATTTTGTAGAAATGAAGATTATTTGTTTGTATAAATGTTCACATAGAAGGGAAGAAAGGAAGAAAAATAATCCAAAGGCTTATGCAGAGTTTGTGTGACATAAAACATGGTTGAAAATACATAACAGAAAAAGGGAAGCAGTAGCTTCTATAAAGAACAAAACAACAAACTGCATCAAGAAGAGAGGATTTGTTAGCGTTTAACCAGAATGAAAATGTCCTGAAAAATACCTTAATGAGCTTAAAGCTTGAGGAGGATCAATTGATAAAGGCACTGGAATTTCAAAGAACTTTAAATACACGAGTGGGAATTGGTCTAATAGCCAGTGTCACACAGCATCTGGTGGAAGTTGTCCATCAATTATGACTGGGTTTTCTCAGCCTGGCAGTTGAATAATATGGGATTCATGTGAGAGTACAATCAGTTATTTACATTTCCTAATTGTAATTATGAGAATTAAATATTGTAGGAAATGTAATCAATGAATACTCTTTTAAAGGGACTTTAATGATTGAATCAGAGGCAAAAAAGTGAAAAGCAACTTCTTTGAGTAGAAATACCCCTGAATTTGTCCAGTGAGAGAGATAATAATACTTCATGCAGAATGGGATTCTTTAGTCTAAGGCACATGTTCAATGTGGCCAAAGGTGCAAATAATCTGTAGCTGAATTTAAAGAAGATATAAATGAAATACTGTGGCAATGGCTGGGACTAGCAAGCAGTGCATCCTGCATAGTTGATGTCTGACCTGTTTGATGCAATAGCCACAGGTCGTTGCTGTGGAAAAGCAAATAGGGTTGTCCTTATCTTGGGTATTTTCTACCTAGAGGGAGTGATGAGAATCCTGCAGATTTCTCTGTACAGGGTGTTGGTAGGTGCTGGGTGTCAGTGCTGGTCAGAGTTGCTGTCTGGTCATGCTGGTGTGCACAGAGTCGTGCCCTATCCCACATGTTTCCAGCCCTTCTGCTATATAACCTGTCTGCAACTTCTGTTATTCTTTGACCTGGAGTTACAATACCCTCACCCCTTCCTGTACTGCCAAGGACATTTGCTTCCTACTCTCCTCTTGGATTTCCTTTTATGACATGATGATACAGCCCAGTTGTAGTTACAGAAACAGCCATTTGTCAGTCATTCCTGTATTGATTTTTTAATATATTTTTAATAACAGGGATGGGCATAGTTTCAGACTGAGATTTATTACTTTAGTGTGTGCTTCTGTAGGCAGAAAAGAAAGAAAAAAGTGAATTGTAGCGATCCTGAATTTCACTTCCTGTCTGACAGTTCTTGTCTCTTAGACCCAGCTGATGTAAATTGAGTTGGTCTGTTTCACAGTATTTATCTTCCTAGTAGCAACCCCTTACCTGACAACATTTTTTGTTCCCTAAGAAATATAAAATTTGTATATCCTCTGGGTTAGATCTCACTAACTTTGAAATGAAAATTGGTTGTTTATTTACCTGCCTCTCTTTCTTTGAGATCTGTTTCCTCCTGTCTCTCCTCCCTCTTCTTCCCACATGCTGCTGTGTCCAGATGCAGTTGTTCAGGTTGACAGCAAACCCTGCTGCTGGCTGCCCTCCCCTTTATGCCTCTGCTTCTGCTCCCTGTGCTTCTTGCCTGAGCTGTTGGCTCCATTTCAAAGATGCCTCTCTTGGCCTTGGTCTTTGGGGTTTTTTTCCTACTCTGTGTTTTTTTGCTGGTTTTTGTTTTGTTTGAACAACTTTTCATGTGCCCTAACAGTATTGTCTTATTTCTGACCCATCTGTCTGCAGTTCCAGGCTCCTCCTCCCTGCTCCTTCTTTCATTCCAGGTAGTGAAGGTGCAAATTTTTCTTGAGAGATGCAGCAGGTTGTACAAATGTGAGCTTGGCTTCAGCAATCAGCACTGCCCAGACTGGGCTTGATTTGCAAAGACAGGATGAGACAGGTACAGACAAAGTGCTGTTACAGGCCTTAAAATGTATTAATTAGTTATTAGAATTAATTATTTTATATATATACACAATCATATTAGTTATTAGAATTGATAATGGAGAACTGCTAAAGCACATGAAAAAATCTTCATTTGGTCTATGGTGAATACTTAGGAGGTGATAAAAAAATTAATACAAAGCTTGGTAATTTCAGGTCAGTGGTCAGTTGCATGAAGAGAAATTATGTTATGAAAAATTACACCTTGTTTAAAGTATGTAATTTCATATGCATTAAAAAAATGCCTTTTCTTTGGATTCAGCAATGTTTAGGACCTTTAATTCACTTTATAAATTCCTTTTGTGAAACTTGGTGATAATAGCCTGGCTGTTTTCCAGGAGGATTTGCCCCAAATTGTAGGTGGCAACTGTACATTTAATGGGAGAGATTCTTCATTTACAAAAGCAGGGAACCTGCATGGTAGATATTCCAGTATCATGGAAGTATGTATATGTGAATGTCTCCAGTATTTATATTCATATATCTGTTCATATATACACCCATGCTGGAGTTACAGTGGAATTTTCCAGTTTGTACCATGCATTTCTAAAATGCCATATAATAATGATACTCTTTATAAATGCATATTGTTTTAACTGAATGCTTTGTAGTAAAACTCATTTTTTGTATAAAAATACACTGACAGGTTAATTACTACTATTGCAATTCTCTTTTATTGTCTTGAATATTCCATATTTTTTTCTACCCTTCCTCCATTGAATGGGAAATAATATAGAAAAATGCTGGTTTGTCTATAATTCTGTTTTTTGGGGGCTGGGAAAGCATGGGTTTGTCATGCTTAGT